GAGAAGTCTGGCTGGTTTTTGGATTGGGGGGGTGGTTGGTTGGTTTTTTTTCTTTGGGGGTTGTTTTTTTTATTTTTCGCTTTGCTCTGGTTCTTCATAAAAAAATTACATCACTAAGAAATTAGCATTTGCACAAGGAAACAAGAAGCTATATATTTGCCAAATTAAATCTTAAAATAATCTTGTATACTGTACAAATATACATTACATGTTAAACATTTACAACCTTAACTGTCTAGGTGACAAAATTCACTGCTCTTCCAAGCAATGCAGCTACCCAACTTTTCTTTTCAAGAGCTCAAAGCTATCAACTGTCAGGTATGAAGTCCCCTTCACAGTTAGGGACAGGACGACAAAAAGATGGATCTACTGATAGTAGTGGCATCAATATAAGGGAGTTGCAGGTGCACTAAATAATTTGAAATACAGTCCTTGCTAGACAGAAATCTGGGAATAGATTTTCAGTAATGAGCCGATACTGAAGTCAGTGAGAGGTCTTTCTTCGCTTGGCACTGTTTGATTCTGTGTCCTCTGCCGAGTCCTCTGATGTTCTCCTCGTTAAAACACGATAGTCTTTGTTCCACTTACTGCTATTACTTTGACCTCCTTCACTGGGGGCTTTTGAACTGCTTTTCGAGACAGAAGCCCTCCGGTCACCCGCGTGCCGAGCTGCATAAGGCGACGCGGAAGGCACGTCGCATTGTCTTTGCTGGGGTTTCCTAGGAGTTTCTGTTCTGGAAATCTGATTCCTGGCAGCTGAGGACACATTGCGGCCTTGCTGCGACGTTGATCCTGGATTGCTCTGCACTGACCGACTGCTGTCCTTTGAGGCCTGCTCCTTCCCTTTTGTTTCAGTTCTACTAGCCATACTTGCCAGCCTCGGATCGCGTGGCTTCTCTTGATCAGGAAGCGCTGCAGCCTCCATGGGTGCGGAGGCACTGCCTCTCCTGGAATGTGCAGCCTGAGCCCCCTGTGGCTGCTGGGGCACTCTGCTTCCTTGTGGCGCTGCATGGCCAGCACCAGCAGTGAGTTCCCGTGGGCTGCTGGCCTCCCTTGGATTTGCAAGCTCACCCCTCTCGCTACTGGAAGAACAAGCCTGCAACAGAGGAGATATCTTTGTCCCTGCTTTGGCTAGGAGCTGTAGCGTTGGCTTGAGCTTCAAAATCTTAACAGCATCTTCCCTGTAGCTTTTTTCTGATGTCTTGATAATGGCACCTCTTTTCTGAGCATCCTGAATCAACTCATTCCAGTCTTTATTTTCCTTTAAAAAAAAGAAAAAAGACACCCCCCCCAAAAAGGAAACAGTTTTCAGAAAGAAATCAACACAAACGGACAGAGGTGTCAGAGGATGCACAACCTCTTTAATCAAGGTACCTGACACAACTGTCATGGAAACCACTGTTATGTTCCTTCTGGAATGGAAGACTCTTACGTTTCACTTGCAAAACAGCAATAGGCACTCTGGCTGCTGTAACACAGGGAAGGTACTTTCAACTATCAGTGAGCTACGACTTAAAATGACAATTTCTGTATTTATGAAGGCCAGAAGAGTTCTCTCATACAGAGAGTGAAACAGGAACATGGCTTTAATGCCCTCTAGTGGTGTAGCTAACACCCCCACCCTTGGAAAAAGAATAAAAATCAAGTACTGTAAGACATTAAAGTCTATTCAAGAGGACTCCCTACACTTTCAGAGGGCCTTTATAGTCCCCCAAATACGTAGTTCTGTTTCAGAAACACCTGTTTCAAAGAGTACAAGCGAAAGGTATCCTCAGAAACCGCATGACTACACAAAGTAGTGTCAAAAACAGTAACATGAAGATCAGGGAAATGTTTTGGGGTGGTTTGGGTTTTGGTTTTTTTATATCATTTTCCTTCCTCAAGTATCCAGTGACAACTCCAATAGCAGGAGCAACAGTACGGATCAAGCAGGAAAGTATCGCTGCCATCATCCTATCTTACCAGCAGAGACATTTTTTGCAACCCCCATACCTGAATTGTAAAGGACTGTTAACAATTTAGTTACTAAGAATACTGTGAGAGTGATTTCTAACTTTCCTTCTTGGAAGCAAGGAGAACAGTTTTGGTTTTTTAAAGCTTGTATGACAGTTACAGCCCAAGCTTTCGAAGAGAACCCTTCAGGGCCTGGATTGTACTAATTTAACAATACACTAGAAAAGGGTCCCCTTTCGTAGACTGGAGCAATCTGAGGATGGTTTTCACTTCCCCAACCCTGACTTGACCTGAAGGGTGGATCACAGAAGATCGTTCGATTAACACTGTACTTACCATGAGTGTTGTCAGTCTTCCAAGGATGAAGAGGCTGAATCTGGCTCGGGTAATTGTAACGTTCAGACGCTGACGACTTGCCAGAAACCTAGGTGACAAGACAAAACTAAGGTCCTAAACTACTTCTTCCATGAGGTTTAAGTGCTATGAGAAAAATCGGTAATGTTCAATTTCAGTGAAATGAAGGCAACAGAAGCAGCTACAAAGAAGGCGGCCGTTGATGACCCATTCCCAGATCCCACTGCAGCAGCCCTGCCTTACATGAAGGGCTTTGCACGAACTGTGTTTTCTTTCTTTCACCGCTCTGATTCCTTGCAGGGAATTCCAGTTCTTTCCAGCTCCTACCATTGACGTTTCCTTTCTTAGAGAAAATCCCCTCTTAATGCCAACCATTGCTTCCCTAAATGTTCCTCAAAGTACAGAAGACATCAACCTCACTTCACCTATCAAGGCTTTAAGCTTCTTTTTGACTTGAACTGAAATAGATTAATAATAGTTGGCATGATTAATGGGAAAGTTTTCTACTGAAATACTGAACGCTGGGCATAAATATTTTATTTTAAAGGTGACCTGTGCTGGAAGCACATGAAGGAAGACTTTTGCTTTGTCATGCTTCAAGAGTGAAAAGTATATTCTCGCAGAAGAAAATTTTCATAGTGCAAGTATCAGACTGCCTAGTCTGTTTTTGTGGGATCACAAACCAAGGCACTGAAACCTAAACAAACAAATGCTTAGTGTATTCTTAACAGTAGATATCTGTTAGGGCTTATTTACCAAAACTCAAAAAAAAAGGTTTATGAAACTAATATCAACTATTTTTTCTCTAATGAAAAAGCTCCCAAAATTCACAGCTTATTCTATACTAACAAAGTTTGCAAGACAACGTCAGGTCTTTGTACAACTTCCTTTGAACAGGTCCAACATCGAATGCCTGGTACCGTGGTCACGGCACCGAGACCTGCTCTTCAGCAAATTCACAACCCCTGCAGTAAAGACTGCAAAAGCCCCACAGCCACCCCAGAAAATTTGAGCAGTGCAGAAAAAGGCAGGAAGCAGACCAGGAGAGTGGATCCAGCAGCACAGATATCATAGTTCGCTAGGTCTTGGGCGGGGGGAGGGGGCAGGGAGATATCTTGAAAGACTACTAAATATTCCTAACAGCTTTTAAAACTGAAAGACGACAAAATTATTTTCTCGGGAAGGGAAAGAAGAAAAAAAATCCATTGTCATTTCTTGGCAACTTTTCTCCTCCCTTCGCAAGTTACTTTCAGAGTAAATGTAATGCCAGACTAGCAACCTTGGAGACCAAAATACTTTGCTCAGCTACAAGATCATAGGTAAGGGTGATGCAAACTTTCCCATCACACCTTGCCAACGACACCTGACCCTGAAACAGAGATGTCCAAGTCATCAGTATGTACAGCTTCCAAGGCATTACACTGCCAAAGCTTTAATATATAAACCTTCAACACAGTAAGCTGGAAAGTTTTCTTCCAAAAGAACAGAGAGAGGTTAAGTCCTGTGTCAGCCAAAAGAACTGGCAGGTTCTAGCTGCCTTCAGTTTCCAAACTCAATCAACTAGATGAAGAAATCTCCAAAAAGCATCACTTATTTACTATAGGCTTTGGATTGTTTCTCTTGCCAAAGTAGCATGGATCAGCACAATTAAAAGCCCTTCATCTAGCAATTAGAAAATTAGTATCAGAGAAACATAAGTAGCTTAGTGAAACCTGGTATGTGGAAACAAAGATTTTTGTTTATGCGAACAGACTTCCCATAGTTTAACTTAAAAGCCAATGAACTTATAACAAGGCATATTTCCACTACCATTTTTTAAACTAAAATGATCAGTAAGTTACAGAAATAAATCAACAACTGCTGTAGCGGCCTGGGGGTAAACAGCACACCCAGTATCTAGTTCCTTCCGTTTCAGCTAGGAAAAACCCATATGAAATTATCAAATCTGCAATCTTCAATCAAGACTTCCTGCAAACCTCCTCCTAACTCAAAAGACAGGCACATTCATCTACAAATCAAAGATCCACCTCATCTGCATCACGCTCCTAGCGACATACGTAACTCATTAACAATACTTTAACAGACAGAATGCTACATTAATAGGATAGCGACAGTCACAGAAAATGGATTTCATTTTAAGAGAGCAGCATTCAGAAAGTTACAATATATTTCAAATCTACAAGAAAAACAACTGCTGCAGTACTAATGCAAAGAGCCAAGTTCCCAAGACCAATCCTGCCAAAAACTCAAACAGTGACAGGCTAAGGCAGTCCTGCAAATTCATCAGCACGCAACGCAGAACACAATACTTTGCATTTCCATGTTGTTCAGAGATCTCAAACTGGTAACATTAATTCATACATTAAGACACCCTTTAATTTGCTGGCTGTAGTGACTTGTTCTCTAACAACTTTCTTACTGGTCATATTAAAAATATGACGACTACATCTAGAGTGTCATTGGAAATGGGATTTGCAAATCACTGGAGAGAAACATACCCAATTGACCCTTTAGTGCTGTTTGCCCGGACACACGTCACTATGATGCAGTCTTTCTCTCGTCCCTGGAATGCATCCACTGTGTCCACTTCGCCTGGGCTGTTGAAGAAAGAATCAGCAAGCAGTTAAGTTATGTTAGTTGAATTTTTAAGCAACACACTGATGCAAATAGCCTAAACACTATCCTTAATGATCAGCTGTCAAAATAACCCAGGGTAAATTTCTGCTTCAGTGTATGAACCTAAAGCTAAATTTGCTTTCCTGAGGCCAGCATCATTGTTGAAAAGCTGTTCAGGTCCATGTAGCTTGGAATTTTAGGTTTTCTTTTAAATCAGCTTTATTCAGAACAGCAATATAATCAAAGCATGTATACAGGTAATACCTAAGAAATGGTACAAAGAGGCCATCCCTGTTTTAAGCAAAAGGCTTGCACGTCCCCTTTAAAGGCATGACTGAGTACGGATTTTAGCAGTACAAAGTTTGAGTTTTTGCCATTATTTTAAGAGGATAAACAAAGGACTAATGCGCAAGAGCCAAGTCCCATTTGAAACTCATGGTTTCTTTACCTGTTATTCTTAAACACTCTGTCCAGTTGTTCTTGAATTTTCTTTTTCTGTGCGCTGTAAGGGGTAATTATTCCAATGCGACGAAGACCCAGATCCTTCCTTTTTTCTTTAATTGTTCTAATTAATTCCATCACCAGCTTCACTTCCTGAGGATTACTAAAAGAGCTGAACAAGACAGAAAGGAAACATTACAGAAATACATTTGACAGCTCTTTCAAATTCAATGCTTCAGCCCAATTTGTAGGGGGATTGCGAGTCAAAGCCCCCGTCTTGAACTTTTGCAGCCTCCTTCACAAAAAGGCTCAAAGAACTTTGCAAGCAGGCCCCAACGAGGGGCTAGCAACAATGAGAAGTGTCAGCAGTGAAAGGCTGCACTTCACATTCCCTTGAACTACATAGCTTTGCTTTCTTTACAGAATAGGCAAAAGGGAGGACTGAGCCTGCCACCTTCTGGCATTACTTCAGCATGCAGCTGTGAAAGGAAAGTCCCTGATAAAAAAAAATAAATTGGGAATCAGAAACTGTTACTAGAGTTAGCAGGGACTGTAGGCATTCACTGGCATCCAGCAGATAGTCAAACCAGGATTAAAACCAGTTTCAAATTGAAAAAACCACAAACAATTAACACGTGCTTTTTTGTACAATTAAATCAAATCAAGTTGAAAATGCAGTTCTGGCTACTTAATGCATATTGGGAACAACAGAGGAGAGAAGACAACTCTCCTGCAGGTGATTAATTCTCAGCAAATCTAAAATTGGGCAGAGTAGAATGCAGGACTTACTCACTGTCTCGCTCCTCACGACCGTCTCTGACATCAAAAATAAGGTAGGGCTGGAATGGCCATTCTGAAGAACATCTGTTCTCTTCTGTTGCTCTGCAAATAACATTTTTATCACCAGGTAACCATATAGAAATTCTAAGAACTGGTACTTCATTTATTTACACCATGGTTATCAAATACAAGCAGCTTTCAGCTCCCCCCCGCCCCCCCCAATCCCCAGTCCTCAATTTTCACTGGTACCTGCATATACTGAGGCCTGAAAATAAACTCTAAGCAGTAAGTACACTCAACTGTAAGTGGTCTAGTTAACTTACATGTCACAGTCAGCACTAGCAAGAGATGGAATGCAAGTTTTCTCCCATTAAGCATCTTCCCCTCCCCACAACCCCAAAAATTTTTAGACTCAAAAGAATATCCTGATATGAAAAGGCTTCTTTGAAATACCGCCTGCTCAGAAAGGAGATCAGAGAGCTACTCACTTGTCAGTCTTTAGAGTCCTGCCATAAACATAATTGGATGGGAAGAGGCAGATGTCAGGGTGCATCCTGTACTGCACAGTCAGCTGCACAACCGGCAAGCTTCGTAAAATGTTCTTCTGCACTTGCTCCTCCAGGTGTCTCTGCAGGCGTGCCATCAAGGACTGATCGTAGCCACGTTCCTGAGCTTTCTGCCAGAGGGAAAACATGAGATTGACTTCTGGAGAATTAGGTCCCAAATTAAAAGCATGAATTTGCTTTTTGGACCTAGAACTATTTGGTATTTTCTTTTAAACTTGTAACTCACTGACAAAATGACAACTACTTGCACTTCAATTTTCTATTTGTGTTAGTCTTACTATTTCAGTAAAGATCACCTGCATAAATGTGAATTTTTGTCAGCGTAGTCTTCAGCAAGACAACTTTCCTTTGTGAGTCACAACATAGTAAAATTTTAAAAACATCAACAATAACGAAAAGCAAGATCTTCCAGGTGGGATCTTGTTAAACAAGCACACAGCCTTCAGACAAGTCACCCTTCTCAAGAAGCCAGTCTGCTTTTCCGCCTTTCTTTATCAGATGTTTAAAACAGTCCTCCTTACTGTCGGATACAAGAAAGTCCTCCTATATGTTCATCCTTAGAACACTTCTGTAGGGTGAGGAAGTCCCCTTACAATCAGGTAGTCTTCATCCTCCATTCCTTAAGGAATGTGACACTGACTGAAGCTGACATGATGAAATAACAGAGCCTGCCGCAACAAAACATCCATCATAAACCAAGTGCCGACTTGCACTGAAGTTTGTGTGGCCATAGCTATTCTTAATGGTGCATTAAATCAGTTTCAGGCTACACCAGGAAAGTCTACAGAGGTTGCACTCACACATCTGTATTAGCTTTATTCACACATCTGAAGGCAGCATTGATATGGTCTCCACATAACAGAGACTTAACTTGGCAGGGCAAAAGTTATTATCCAATACACATTGTGATCTGACATTGAAGCGTCTTTTTTCTTTTATACATATTTTCTATAGATACTGCTCTTATACTATATAGCATGAAAAAATACAGTTTGAACACTTACTACTGATTTTACAGTAGGAGGGAGCTGCTTGGGATCTCCAACAAGGACAAGTTTATTACAGCGATGGATCAGTGGAATCAGTGTTTCAACCTCACAGGACTGCCCTGCCTTTTGTATATGCAAACAGGAAAAAAAGCAGAAGTTGTCAGCAAAGGAGTGGAGGGAAGTATGTTAAATTTCCTGTAACAGGGCCAGAATAACTCAGAAATGCTTTTTAGATGCTGAGAGAGAGTTTTTCCCTAATAAAAAACTCCAAACAGATACGATTGAATACGCAGAGCTCTCTCCAAACAGATACAAATATAACCCAGCCATCTGGAAACCTCTATAGCAAGAGCCATATTTTAGCCATGATTTTTAAGTAAAAGCCGTCTGCCATTAAAGCACCAAACAAGTCAGAAAAAGAAGCAATTAGAAGTTATTCTTTCTTCTTATGGCTCTACGTGGCAGGACAGGCTGGTTATCAGTTAAAAGGTGGGGATGGGGCAGTCAACCCACAATATATTACGCCAGAAGCCAAATAATCACAAGTAGCCCAAGCAGAGAACGAGGCAGACCTTTAGAGGTGGAACACGCTGTAGTTCTAAATAGCTTTACCAACCTCATCCACAATGACACAGCTGAAAGGATCAAGTCCTTGCCGACAAAAAGCGGATTCCAGCAGACTTCCTCCACTTGTGCTCAGCGTGCAGCAGATGATGTCGGACTCCAAGATGATACCTGCCTGTACTTTCTGAGAGTGCCTCCGAACCTTCAAGTACAACGGGACACCATGTCTCCTCTTTTAGCCTTCCTGAACCACCTTAGAGCAATTTCTAACTGCCTGGACAATTCTAACTGCCAAACAGATCTAGCATAATGCATCGTCCCAACGAAACTATCTCCATTGTTACAAACGAAAGTCACAAGTTGGCTTAACTGAAGTGTTACTCTCACTTTAAATTACAGCACCTTTGAGATGGCAAACTGGAAAGAAGCATTCCTTTATCTCTACAGCTATGCAATCTAGACACAGTAACTGTGAGCAAAGTTTAGTTTGCCATCACATTTGTGACTCCAAGCCTCCATGACCATTAAAAGTCAGCATATATTTGTTAAAGATGAACCTTCATCCATCTCATGGTTCGTGCTACTCCGCCTTAATTACTGGGTTTGCTATCAGTGCTATTTCCACTTTCAAACCTCTCTTCCCACACACACAAAAAAATTCTCCCAGCTGTTGCTTTACTTAGAAACATTTAAAAGTATCTCAGTCCCAGCAGGATTGTAAGGGGCATGAAAGTGGTGACAAAGATACATCCTAGAACACGAGCACATGCACGTTTCTATTACCTTCCTTGCAAAATACACATTTCGTTTGGAATTAACTGTATGAGTGAATATTCCCATCCGTTTTTGGTTGGGGTTTTTTTTTCCCCCCTCCAATATGCAGCCAGAGTACACCTGGATTTCACACCAGGCTGTCCATAACTTACTCAGTTTATGATCTTTATCTATTTACCTACTACTTTATAAATACTCCCAGCCACATCAAAACCAGATCTCCACCACAATTAAAGGATACCAAGTATATAAATAGATTAGCTGAGATTTATTAAAGAGCTGCCCTAAAGATAAATTCCTACCTCCTTTAGTTGAGAAGCAAGCTGTTGTCTCTCCTTTGAAAGTCTGCCAATTTCATCATTTAACATTTGACTCTGCATGGCGAGGTGGGGGGCAGGGGGAAGAGAAACCACATAAGTATCAGGAATAATTAACACACATTTCCCATACACCTTTTTTCCTCCCATACCCCAATTCATTTCCTAAACATTTAGACCTGTTCAGACTGTCTTTTTATATCAAACATGTCTGAAAAAGCTGATCAGTTTCTTAGAAAATGGTCAACGTATTTAGACTTTTCATACAGAATACTACACATTTCTGTGCAACTGAGAAAGCGGTTTACCATCAGAAATCTGTAACTTGAGCACAAATGCCAAATTTTTAGACAAAGAAAACTGGAAAACTTCAAGTGCAACGCATATCCTAAAATCTCAGATTGCAAGGTATCTTACTACTTCCAGTTAAACAGAGCTTTGAAGTACACAAGTTAAACCATTAAGTTTTATAAATATGTTTACACTGGTGATAGAACCAAACGAAGACTACTGAACGCTAGAGTAAGAAGTGGCATGACTGACCTGCTGAAAATACCAGTATAAATAGACAAAAAAAATTCCTGATGTAAAGTTCCTCATTCCCCTTCACAGTGCTAATCAACATTTTTCCATTAGTTCAAAAAGCAGGTGAAGGCAGTTACTGCTCAGAGATGGCACTAAAAGGAAGAGTTCTTCACTCTTTGGATTCAGTTATGAATACAAAAAAACCACAAACAGGATTAAAAATACTATTATCTTACTACCTCCCTCTTCTCACATCTGTGCATGGCACGCTGACGAGACAGCATGTCCAGCTGTTGATCCAGAGCTGCTTTTTTCTTCTGAATATCCTGGTCACAGTCAGCTGGCTTTCGTTCTATAATAAGACAAAGGAAAACATACAAGAGTAATAGAAAAACTATGTTACAATAACACTGGCTCTCAGTCATGCATCTTAAGTTATTAAGAACAAATGGACAAGCTCATTTTTTGTTGCATTTTCCCTTTTTCTACTGAGGTCTTATCTTTTAAAACGAAGATAATGAGACTTGGTTCCAACCGTAGCTCGCAAATGCTGCACAGCCGCATTGCCTAAAAATGATGGCTTTAACATGCATTTATTATAATTTCTTTGAAAAAAAAAAATCCAAGAAGTCATCTTGCTTATTTCTTTGGTTTTGCTCAGATTTTAGGCCATATGTAAGCTGACACTTTCCCACTAAGACTGAGAAAAACAATGCTTATGAAGCACTGTTGCAGAAAAATCTTTTACCAGATCTTCCTTCTTAAAGGACACATAGTCTCAAGTGTATAGTATCATCGAGCTCTTAAAGAAGACTGAAGAAAAGTCTGATTTGCATGTTACTTACTCATTCTGTGTTCAACTTGCTTATCCAGGCTAAATCCCCGGACTTCACTGTTGATTGCTTTTTCAGCACCAAGTCGCACTAATTTGATATCACCACAGTTTCCTGTTTACAAAATCAGAGTCAAAATACTTTTAGTTGCTCCAATCATCTCTGCACTTTGGTATGAGAGGAAAAAAAAAAAATTTAAACATCACTGATGTCAAACAAGGCTTTTCCTTTTCTGCTTTTCAGGGGTTTGTAACAATTTACTTGTACTTACCTAAATGCAGCTACAAAAAAATTCAGCAATTCCAAACTCAAAAAAAAAAAAAAGTACGTTGCCTATGTTTTAGTGGTGGCTAACAGTTAAGAATGTTATTTTGCATTAGCAGAACCACCTCTTATTCTCAGGCTTCTTTATAAAACTTACAGAATTCCTAAGTTAGAAAATTACTGATTACCATCAGTAACACGGCTAGTAAGTCAATACCGAATTAACATTTGGTTACAATGCAGATATTTTTTTTTCCCCACCGCAGACTAGATGCCTTGTTCAGAATTCATCTACTTTGTATTAGTCACAAACTAGGAGGAGAAAAGAAAAAGTGAGAGGCTCCGACATGCCAAATTTTCATCAGTCTGTTAAGCCTGATCAGCAAAGTCCAATTTTATTCAAAATCAAGGTAATAGTCTTGTGTTCGAATCTTTAAGGAGTACTTAAAAACTGGTGAACTGAAACTAACGCTATGAAGAAAGGGTCAACATCTACATAAAGTGCAATTTATTTATAAAAACCGTAATACACCTTTTAGAAAAGCACATTAAAATTCATAACAGTATGAGGATGTACCAGTCATGTTCTGCAAGAGAAAAGAGCTGCTTAGAGCAGCATTTAAGTATTATATGTAATCAACTGTTCCAGTTTCTCTTTCAGGTTTTGTCTATTTAACATATAAACAGAATTTTAAAATAAACCATACCCAAAGGCTCCTGTCTGTTTTGGCATTTTCCCTTAAATGCAACGATGATCTTTTTCATGAGTTCATCAACAGCAGCATTTGATGGTGCACAAACTAGAAAACGGTTTGGCTTCATCTTGGCATTTGATTTTTGAGTTGCTTTCTCATTCCTAGTGTTCTGTAGATTAATTAACATTAAACCAAAACAGGCTCTTTAGATTGTTTTCATTTGTGATTTAAAAGGCAGACTGTATGCTCATCTTAATCAGCATGCAGAGTATGGGAACTATTGCACTTGAATATCTCTTAAGGTATGCCTTACATTGATTAACAAGTCAAACGTATTAATACTATTTGCATAAACTCCCTTCAACAATGATGTACTTGATGAATCTACGGGATGCTAATACGAAAACCATTAAATGGGACAGGCCAAATAACATTCCTTAATACACCAAAATATTAAGGGTTTTTTTATGTGACAAGTGTTTATACTACTGATTGTGCATGTTTTCTTGATTTTATTTTTTAAGTTCCGTAAAATAAGTGTTTTCCAAGATGCCCAAAAGGTATTATTTCCACCTTTACACCCTATACAGTACAAATTTAATTAAGTCAGCTTAGTGAATTACACCCCCAGTAATTACCAATACTATACTTCCATTTAGTTTAGGCTATCCTTGACTTCCATTGAGAAACCAAACACCAGCACATGACAATCACATCATGTTCACTTACTTCTCCCAAAACACGAGACAGAAGTCCAACAATAGTTTTTGATTTCCCTGTTCCAGGTGGTCCGTGGATGAGGCAGATCTTGGGTAGCCCTGGATGTTGCTTTACCATGGCATAAGCTGTCTCAATAGCTCTCTTTTGATTTTCATTGTATGCATTCATATCTGACGCCTGAAGGAACAGACAGGGGAAAAAGTAATGAATTAATTAACATTGATCAACCCTTCCATGTTCATTTTAGGTATTTTCAGAATGTCCCCCACCCCTCTAGCTACGACTCAAAAACCTGAAAGGCATGGAGGCTTTTGATTCTATGTTTGCTCTAGATGCACATCCAATCCTGACTCGAAAGCTGTAATGTTTCATTTACTCTACACACCTTTATTTTGTATTACCTTTTCCATACTACGCCTTATTTCCTGAACAGACACTTCTCCAGTAAGGAAGAAAACCTGAAAGCTGCTTAAAGTGCACTACTAGTATCTATGTCAACACAGCAGAAACACCTGAGCAAATTCAGACTCCTCTCTGTCCACCCAATCAACCAACTCTGAAAAGCACAGTGCCCCCGTGCTTTTGCAACTTGTCTGTTTGCACTTGGTCATCTCAAAAAACAGCATGCAAAACCAGTTTCGCAAGACTCATGAGATCCAAATGCCCACTTTGTCATCCGTAACTATCACTTCTAGATGCAGGACTTACAGCACTTTCTGAAGCTATGGGCAAATCTCTGGGACAGAAGTCATCGTAACTTGGATTAATGATGGGTTTAGCCAGGGGACTCCTGCTCAATAGTAGTAGACCTTTGAATGTTCGGTGTGTGGTCACCAGGGAGCCAACCACCACACACTTCACTTGCTTATTTATGAAGAATGACAAATTGCCTCGAGTTTGCACAGAAAGATGACAGACTGTATGCTGCTCCTTTTGTCCTATTAAAAGGGGGGGGAGGAAAAAGAAAAAACAAAACCACGAGTTGTTAATTCAAAGAATATCCAAATTGTTAACTGAAAGATATTTAAACAGGTCACTCAAAGAATTCACCAGAACCAGGTGCTGCCTTCTATTAGGGAGCCAACAACTAATTCTTGCAAAAAACCCAAATACTGCCACCCCCCCAAAAAAAAAAAATCAACCCAAAAACAAAAAAAAAAACCCTAGTGCTCTGTAAAACAACTGAGACCACTGTTTTAATCAGACAGCATTGATCGTGATACTTGGTAATCCTGGTTATTCACAACTTCAGTTCCAGAAGATAGTGAAAATTTTAGTCAGTGAGACCACCGACGTTCACGGCATTTCATATCTCACAGCAATGCACTCCTAAAGATATGCAGAGCACTTACTCATCATCAGTTTCTGTTCTTACACAAAGTATTAACATCTGTCTTGAAGGAAGTCCCTAGAAAAATGCATGGAAAGCAGGTCTGCAGCTTCAGTTCCTGGCTTTTTACGAAGCTTCTAGCATGGAATAGACATGCTACAGTGGAAAAACAATCCCATTTCCTCTGAGGTAAGTGGTATATTACAACTATCAACAGCCAGCTATGAAGAAGCATTTCACAGTACCAAGAATAATCCCATTTTTATTTCAACCCCATTTACTTACTAGTTAAACAGCCAGGCGCACGACAAAATTTTTTCACAAGACCAACGTGATTCACTGTATGGTTCTCCATGTCACTTTCTTCCCTAAAGGTGTCTTTTTTCTTTTGGACCACCAAAAAGATTAAGTCATCCTCCTTTGGATGACGCTGCATTGCCAAATCACTTTCTTGAAGATGAGCTACCCAAAATACATTTTAAAGTTGGAAAATTAAAAGGAAAATAGTTACAATTACTTTCTGACTATAGAAGTACTACAATTAACATATTGCATATACTTCAGTAATACCCATCCATTAACTTTTAAAGCTATTAAAAGCTATAGCTAAAGACTACTAAGAGTTTTAACTCCATCCTGCATTCGTAAGACTGAACATAGCACTGTATAAAAATAGAGCAAGTCAAGGACTATTTTATTTACCAAAAGAAGCTGAAACAAAATCCCAAATGAGCGAGATGGTAAGTATTCCAACAGCAATCAAATAACTTTTTGTACTGAACACTTAAGGCACAAATTCCCTGCAAAATGTATTTCTGTTACGTGCATTCTGTAAAACAGCAAATTCAAGATCCTTTCTGTATTTAAAGCAAACAAAAAAAATTTCTACCTGTGCTACCTCCTTATAAGGCATTGTCTTAAAAATTAGAAGATGTTTTTATAAAAAAAAACCCTCTTACCTGTAAAATCTGCTGTATTCAATTCAGCACAGAAATTCTGTAAGCAGAAGTAGTAACTCTTCTCCCTCGCTCCCTGGTTTTCTGTCCGCTCTTGTGCCAGCTACATGTTGGAAAGTAAAAGCTAAATAGAAATACTTTGAAGGGTTTAGTGTATCAGAAAAATAGCTTATCATGACTCAAAGGGCAAACATACTAAGCACAAATAAAAGAAAGCTAACAGACTGTCAGGTACAAGACATCAAAGAGTCTTACCCGTTTCTTTTTTTAATATATGCATGCACATTATGTATAAACACACACAGCAAACAAAAGCACTTCCTCCCCACCCACCCCCCATTTCATGTACTTTCTTATAAAGCTCTTCAAAACAAATGTGGGTTCCCCCAATTGCATTTTCACCTTAAAATACCAGTATTATCCTGGTATTGACTTCATTTTCTACCTTATTTCTATGGGAGAAGCGATGCAACGACTGAACTTGAAAGCATACAGACTTTAATTGAAGGAACACTGCATTTTCTCACTATTGAACTATAAACTATTAAAGTTAAGCTGTTTGGAAAAAAAACTTCTCAGATTAACCTACCTCTCACATAAGTTCCCAACATAAATCAAAACATTACGTTCTTATCCTCTTTTTACAGACACTGTCATTGAAAGACCTCAGTTTCTTAAAGATTTCTGTTTTAAGCTTTATATGCTATAAAGAAAGAGGAACCACCTCCTTTTCCCCTCCTTTTGAATGCTGTTGTGGATGCAAGCCCCCCCCTGCCCCAAAAGCTTCACTGAGGTGAATAACACTGACAGTCCCCAGTCTTAAACATAACTGCCTAGATTATTTCCCCCAAATCATTCCTCTATTCAGATCTGTAGCTGAACGTTTTCAGAGGACATAAAACAGTTTTTAATCTCTTGGTAAAATTTACTAGGGTTGATGAATACAAACCAAGAGGCAGATAGCTACTTACTGTTTCAAAGGCATTTAGCATCATCAAGGGGAAAAATGTATTAAAATAGTCATTGTATTGCTGAAATTGGACAGGAACAGAGGCTACTACAGACTGCAGGAGATTACTTGGAGGTCCAAACTGGCTGGAGTTCACAAACATTTCGTACGTCCACTTTAGGACTTCATTAACAAAAATATTATGATCATGCTGCCGAGCACCAAGAAAGGAAGGAAAATGTGCTTCTTGGCCAGGCCTTCTGGAAATATTTGAAGCATTGTCGTTCTGTCTATATTGTGACTGGAGAACGTTATTAGAAATACAGGGTTCAGGTACGTTACTGAAACTTGGAGACCTGCACGTTTGATTTCCTATCGGTACAGCCTTTGCATTTGGTGGCCTGACCACCGCCGGCTTCGCTGCATTCACTTTGCTTTTTGAAGCTGGCGGTAGCTTTTTAACATCTTCAAGATCCTTGCTGAAGGCTGCATTCCGTGAAGAACTTGCTGAGCTGAAAATTTTGGCAGTGGAAGGCTTTCTTGTTTTAGAAGGTGGCAGGAGAGAAGGTTTGGCAAACGAGTGATCCGCTTCTGAGCTGGTGGCTGAATGCTTACTACAGTACTCTCCTGGTTTTTCCACTTTTTCCATACAGTCCTTGTACTTACATTTCACAATAGTCGAGGATTCGCCCTGCTGAAGGCCTTCAGTAGTACCCATTTCCTCTGTTTTTTTACTAGCTATAGTACTCCCTTGAACACTTTCCTCCTCAGAACATAATTCCATATCCACAGGATCTAACTGAGTTAAAAACAGATCATCATCGTCATCATCTTCACCGTTTTCATTTGGTTTACACCCATTTTCTTTTGAAGTTGCCTTCTCACACTCAGGCTGGACAACGCAACCTTTTCCTGAAGGTTCATCTTTATCATGTCCAACAAGGGCAGCGGAAGAGAGACTTGAATCCATAGGTACAGGAGGAACCATCATACTGTTATCCTCCGATTTTCTGTTCGAGTCTGAAGAACTATGCATTTTGGAGACGCATGTCTCCTCCTCCACAGAGAGGCTTTCAAATTTTCTCTCACTGGCAGAGGGACAAACAGTCTCCTCCCTTTTTTTCTCTCTTTGGTTTTCAACAGATCTTTCGACAGATGCCAGCTCAAAACTTTCAGGCTTTTGTTTCATAGGTTTTGCATCCACTTCGCTAACTTTTTCATTTCTACTCTCAGAACTTCCTGCAACATTTTTCACTCTGACACTTTTTTTGGGCCTCGTCTGCCTTAAAAACTGAAGGTCTTGACAGGCTAGCAATTTTTTATTATTATGTTTTACAGACATACTCTGAGGAGCAATTAGTTTAATCTTCCGTTTCTGTGTAACTCCAACTCTCCCTGCAGATTTACCATAGCTGCGCAATTGAGCTAGGCTCTCTAAAGAGCGCTGGGATAATTCAAACGCTTTGCGGGGTGCCTTCTTCAGACCAAGTTTTTCTACGGTTGATGCTGGTGCAGGACACTGCCGAACTTTCCTTGGAGGAACCACAGCAGGCATTGACCTGCCAGGTTGAGAATTTTTTGACGTACTTTGAAGTAGTTTTTTATTTTGTGCTGTTTTAAGAACAGGAGGTTTTTTAGGACTTCTTTGAATAGTTCTTGCTACCTCAGATTTTGCTGTATTCTTCCGTGGGCTCGTGCTATTTTTCTTAAGAGCCAACTTTGAAGCTAATGAGATGTTAGATGTAGATGCTCTGGGTTCAGTCAATTTTGAGTCCGGGGTGAAGTCTTTAGCAACAGTACCTTTGTCTGCAAAATTCTCCAGTTGATCTTTTGCATTTCCCTTACTAATAGATTCTTGCAATGTTGAACTAGTTACTTCTTTTGTAGTATCAGCTTCTTTCTGATGAGAAATATTTTCTATCTGTTTTTCTACCAAGTTTGCTTCTTCTTCCATGGTATCATCACTTACGTAATCCACATCATAACCCCATTCATTTGTGTGATCGTTCAGTAAGCCATCTGAATTACTACTATCAGCCAATACTGAAACATGATCTTGTTTATACTCTTGAGTTGCTTCCATACCATACGCTTGAGTATCTTGCCAAACCGAAAAGACATCCGCTTCTGTTTCAAATTCAAAGTACTGAGACTCACAGTCTTCCAGTGACAAGGGAGAGCTTGGCGTCTTTGTTTCTATTTTGTTATCGCCATCAGAAATGCAGCTGGAAGTTGAAGGCTGCCTTTCAGGAGCCGTATTTTCATTCGTTGTTTTTGTTTCCTTCTTGTCAGCCACATGTTCTTCTTCATCTGAAGAGTCTGAAATTATAATGACTTGATTGTCAAGGCAATCTGCATCACAGGGAGACTTGGTACTTTGGCCATCATTGGAAGCTCTTACAGCACCTTTCACTTTCCTTTTAATATCACATACGTTATGATGTACTGAGCTTTCTTGGCTTGAATCAAAGGGAAAATTGACACCTTTGGCATACGCAGCTAAAGATAATTTACTGAGTTCTCTATCAACCTGGGAGTCTGTTAAAGCATTATCTTCAGAAACCGTCTTCACACAGTCCCCCCCTTTCTTCCCCACTGAATTGTTTTCTCTCTTGAAACATTCTGAAAATTGGAACAACCTGTCACTCGATTCACACTTCATTGACAGTGGCCTGATCTGAGAAGCAGGGTTGGATATATCCCTCTGGTTTTCAGAGCTAGATGGAACACGACCATTTGCTGAAGTTTTATCCATACCAAATGTCTCTGAAATTTGACCTTTACAGTCATATTTAACCAAGTCATTTAAATTAGGCTGTTCCTGGTCTGAATTTTGCATGTCAGTGTCTTTCTTAAAGGCAGACTTCAACAATGAACTGGATTTTTCTTCAGTGGATACTTTTTTCAGTAAGGTGTCATTAATCCCTGAAAACAAAATACTGTTGTCATCACTTTCCTGCATACCAGGTTCATTTTTAGAGGAGCTAGTGCAATCTAGTGGTGTTTCTTTTGATACCTGTTTAGTGGGGACCAGTCTGGATTGAAAAGCACTGCTGACACTTTTCTCCTGTGTACTTTCACAACTCCTTGAAGATGGAGTATCAACAGAGATTTCATTTTCACACACAGTATTCACGCCCTGATGTTTATGACAATCTTTGCTTGTACACAGATAGCCAGTGCAAAGCTTAGGTTGCTCTACCTCTGCTTTTGAAGCGCTTGTTGCAAAACTGCAGTTTTTCAAGTCGCGTGGCTTCGCTGGCTGCAATACTTTTGAGAGCCATTCAGTTTTCCGTACCTTGTTTTTCAAATCTGTGAGTCTATGAGCATCTACTTTAAGCTTTAAAGAGGAACTAGGAGACATACTGCTTTCCTTTACATCCGAGCTGCAAGCGTGTTCTGGAGAACCAATACGAGCTTGAGCAGCCAGACACATTGGTGTTATGGGTCCTGCTTCACATTTGTTTTCCAACTCTCCACCTCTTCTGAAATCTGAACGCTGGGAATTTGGATTAAAGTACTGATTATCCGTATCGCATTTACCCGCCACAAGATCATTGTTCCTGTTTTCCTGAACTTTCCCATATACTTTTGCTGCCAAAGAGTTCTGTGGCCAGACATATTCCTGAGTTGTCAAGTCATTAAGTTCCTTTTTAATATTCAAGAGGCCTTCTGCAGATGTCCAAGATCTTGAACTTTTAGATGCATCTCCACATTCCTCTTCCCAGGCACTTTTTCTTCTAGGGAAAGGGTTCTCTTGACAATCTTCATCTCCGCCTTCCTTCGATATGCCAGCAAATGGTGAACAAAGGTCATCTCTGCCATGTACACTCACCTCGTATCCATCACCATGTGCGCTTTTCTCTTGCTTTATAGAAACGGTAGACAAAGTTGTAGAGTTTGCATTATTTCCTACAGGCGCAGGGGTACTCAGCGCTCTGGCCTTTATATTTCTTATAACTTGCTTTAAACATATTTGTAATTCCTGCGTTTCCTGGATGTTCAGCTGCCAACCTAAAGATAGACTTCCTCGCAGAAGAAGATTGAGTTTGTCTAGGTATTTCTTGCAAAGAGCATGCTGCCCAATTTGATAGCCTTCTCTAAGAAGGCTGCGTATCAACTGCACACAGGCGTGCTGCACAGAGTTAGAAGCTTGTAAAGATACTGCTAATGAACCTCTCACATAGTGTCCAGATGCTTTGTCAGCGCACCGGGTAAATGCTATAGCTGGAAGCTTAGCACATCTCACCACTGCTTCCACCCATTCTTGGGAGCTAATCCATAGCAAATGCAGGCACTTTTTATTTCTGTGTAGTTCAATAATGGACACCAAGATCAGGAGAAAAAATTCAGAGATTTTGTCACACTGCTGGATTCTTTCATTGAGAATATCTTTGATTTCCGAGCAGAGGTAGTGAATGACCTCTACTATATATGCTACACCCAAGTCCTTGAGATCCATAAGTGACTGAACAAAAGGGATGAACCACAGAAACGTGCTGTGATGGACACGCATATCTCTGCCAATATCAGACTGAAGCACATTAGCCAGTGTCTGCATATCTTCGTACATGTTGGGGCAGTAGTCTGGACAAATGGCAGTCTTCCATCCAGTATCCTGAAAAATAAATTCACCACACATCATCCTCATTATGCATATCTGCACAGTTCAATCTGCCAGGTTTTTTTTCTAGCCATAAAGGTTACTTTCTCTCAAACATACGTTGATTAAGTGATAGCATCTCTTACATCCTAATATAAGTCAAAATCTAAATTTAAAAAAAGAAAGATCAAACTAACACATGCGTAAGGAACTCATTTCCTAAAACGTAACCTGTGAAATAAGTATAAAGTAGTACTTCCTTTAAAAATCATTGGGATACCCTCCAAACGTGTTGTTATGCTGAGATAATTTAACCTCATATAAGCAAATATACATTTCAAGCCTTTAAAAGATATTTTGTAAATACAATGCAACAACATCAAGAGAACATACCCATGTTTCTTCTGCTTTCTAACAAGAAAAAAAAATGGTGCCATTTTGGAGCACAGTCTAACATTTGAAAGTACAGCAATGCATACCTCATTACTCCCTACTCAATATATTAGTTTAGAATACTGAGAAACAAGAAGTAAAATACAAGAACTCAATCAGCAACTTTTCTTTTAAATTGGATTCAGTGTTTTCATTGAGGTAACAATGTTTGTTTCAATCTTGAAACGAATCCTTGGGCTTTAATACCATCTCTACCTAATTCACAAACACGTTCTTTCCTCTTACAGCCTGAAGGTACCAAGTAAATAAGAAGTGACCAGACTGGCTGCTATTTAAGGCACACAACAGTGACATACGTTATTTAGTAATTTTTCTTTACAACATTACTAGCAGAAACAGAGTATCTTCCCCTCCATATTTTATAGATGGTTTAAACTCACGGTGTCATTCAGTGATCAGAGTTCGAAGAACAGGGAAATAAAATATTTTTTAATACCTTTTGAGGCTTTTCTGTGTTATAGTTATACACAATCTGACTGCAAGTAACCATGTCATCATCGTAGTCTGACTCTGGTTCAGATTTTGTTCTAAAAAGAAATACAAATCATTATAGACTCCACACAACTAACTTAAACTATAAGAAAGCCAACTGGCCAAGACAGATTTCACTTTTCAGATACCGAGCATATGACTATTAGAACTTGTCTCTGATAAAACATACCTATGAAAAGATATCATATTTAAAATTGTAGAGCTTGTTCTATCCTGCTCGTAAGAGGCAGGGAAGCAACTGCCTCATGAAAAAGAGCTTTCTACTAAGTTATGGATTTGACTACCAACACCCAGAAGAATTCCATTTTATTTGAATTTTCTGTGCATAAATGCAGCTCAATCATGGCTACATACTCATAAACTTTGTATGCAACTGTTTGAACACAACACTCAAATAGCTTGTTTAACTGAAGAAAATCTCCTTTAATACGACTTCCTCGGCTATCTCTAACATTCTGTATATATGCATCTGGAGCTATCTATAACATTATAGACTGTGCATGTGTAAAAATACTGAACATTTAAGACACTGTCACTCAAAGTTGATTAAAAATATACCACAGGAAAACAGTAAACAACTGGTATGGTTATCCAGGTACTATTTTCCACCAACTTTTTTCAACTAGACAGAGTTTCAGCTTTCAAAAATAGGAGGTCTTCCTAAAGTCTTGGGACCTGGATTCTTATAAAAATCCGTAAAAGGGACAGCATGCCAAAAGATGGAGTTCAAGTTTACGTAACAAAATTCAGTTCCCATAGAAGCTGTTCCTAGACTTCCTAGCAGTGTACCAACCAACCACTTCTGCACTGAACAAGCACTTTACCTAATTAATTTTCTGTTCAATACTGACAACATTGCAGTCAGAAGTGATTCAAAAACTGCATTTTATCTTAGGATATAAGTGTATGAAGGCAAAACCTTTCAAAAGAGTATCTGATGCCTGCTATGTGTTTTAAAGCATTTCCTTTCAGTAGTTTACTATGTTATCCAAGCTATTAAAGGCCAGTTCCATGATTCTCACTTTATTACCTTCCCTGAAAGGAATACATTCAGAAAAGGAATAAAACTTTTCAGACCATACAGTACCATTAAGTAAATCTAACCTTGAGAAATATTCAAGACTTAACACGAGTTGAAAGGAAACTCAAATCAGTTGTCATCTGGAACCACAATAAAATCTAAAACTATGTCATCCACTGAAAATTCTGGAATTCCCACAATTTTACCAAGAGTCTCAGACATGGCAATCTTCACTAAACTTAAGCGCAAGTTGGTTATAGCACTAAGTAAGCACTAAACAGTTAGCAGCCTTCCCGATTCAGGATAAAATCTTGAAGAGTGTAACATACATCATAGCAGTCAAAAAGAAGCGAACATATATTTTTTGAAAGAACCTCACAATTTCAGGGGACCTACTTCATTTTTTCATTGCCTGAAGTTGGCAACATCTGCTTTTTTTACTTGCCATCTCCCTCCCCCAACACAAATTAAGGCAGCACTGACAAGAAAACCGAGACCAAGCTACTACACTACCTGGTATTAAAATCATTAAACTGTTCTGGTCTCTTAACAAAACTGACCTCTTAAAGCTACTGCGTATATTTTTTATTTCATTGTTGTAGCTCACACTGTTGATAATGGTTTGAAAGGCTTGGACAGGATCAATAAGCTGACCCCACACTTTAGATCCGAGCTGATCCAAAATAACCATGAAACAATTCAGCGCTGGCCAGAAGGGGTCAGTAGAATGATCTGAAACATAACAGTAATATTGGGGAGAGTTGAAATGCATGAGTCCTGTACATTCTTAGACTAAGCTGAATTTGAAAGTAGTTGGTTTTCATTGATTGTTCTCAAATACTAATATAAAGATATGTATTCTAGTAAGTTGCAACTATACTTTTTAACCCGGAAAAAGAAAAAGGATGAAAGAAAGTCAACCTCACTTATCTGTACAGACAGACACTGCTCCTTATGCAGTCTTAAATCAACAGGAACCTGGATAACTATTACTAACGTTTCCCAACTCTACGAAACTGATTCTTCCACACTGATTTTTGCAGTGCTGTTCTAAGAAGTGGGTACAATTTACATGGCTATGACAATTTATACTTCAAATTCAAGCTAGAAGCAATTGGTTTTCTTTCAAGTATGTTCTTCCTTCTTCCTATGAGACAATATCATATCCTCAAATAAACATACTAAGCTTATAAAGATCTAGTCATTTGAGAGACAGCCCTGGTCTTGAGCTCATGTGCATTCCCGGGCTACGCCATGGCGTGCCCTACAAGAACAGCCCAAGGGCTGCTAGTCTGAATTCTGAAGTCTAAATTCCCAGCTGCAAAAGGGGTTCCCTCAAACAGATGGACGGAAGAGTCAAATTTTAAGCAAGTTGCGGCAATTCAGAAGAAGGTGTTTCTTTATTTTAGGACTCAAAATTCAAACTTCATGCCACAGTGAAATGCACATTCCCACACAACCTGTACATTAAATGAAAACAATATGGGAGAAATTATAGATTTGTCCTCTCAAAACCTCTAAGCCAGCCTTATGCAAAGCACTGCCATCCCTTCTCCACTTAAAGAGTTTGTTTGAATGTCATTTTTCAGTATTTGTCAGTATTGCCCAAATATTGTGCAATGTTGGCCATCTTCCAGAAGATAAATAAGCATCAGTTAAAAATCACCTCAGCATTACACTATTAAGAATTTACTCAATTTAACAAGGAAGTTTGATAAAGATGAAAAATAGGCTATGAGCTGTCTTAATCTCAGTATCAAAATTAGTTACCAGCTGCTTCTTTCTCCATGGTGTGAAATATAGACTGCATGAAATCATTTTGTTTGTCTGGGCCCAGTAACAAGGACTCCATAGCTTGTTCTTCCAGCACTGTTAGCAACATACAAATCCCTACAAAAAAAAAGCAACCTGTCAGTATATTTGCAAAAATCTGTTGTAATTTTCACCAAATCAAGGATCATTTTCCAAATGCCATTACCAGTGTAACACTTGGCCAAAGAGATCAGCAGCAACATGAAATGAATTAAACACTACCTCACTACTGCAGTTGTGCAACGTCCAATTTTCCCATTTGACATGCCCCAAAATAAACAGCACCTATGAAATAGCAGAGCTCTGACTTGAAAGACGTGCTTACAAGATGAGAGAGACTACACGTACAGATTCATTTTCAATCATGAATACTCACCTAGCCAATAGTTCTTGTAGTTAGCAGTATCATATAAATGAGATGGCAGAAGGATGAGTTTACCCTTTTCAATCATTGAAGAGCTGTAAATATCCGGACTCTCAAAAAGCCCCAACTCGATAACTTTGAACAAGCAAGTCAGCACTTCCTGTAAGTCATAGTAATCATCCCTATCAACCTTCCCTAAATTCCTTGCTGCTAGGATGGCCCATCGACGAATCTAAGGATTAAAACAAAAAAGCCTATTTATCAATAAAAAGAATGAATAAAATCACAATGCTGTAAGATTAGGAATCACTGCTATTACAAATGGGACAAAAGTATATTTTTACTAAAGTAAGGTCTCATAATTGCAAGCAGGAGTTAGTCTTTCTCCAAAATAACCTTAGAAACAGGCTTACTATACCCATGAGAAGACATTGGTAACGAAGAAGTTAAAATTCAGGGTAATATATACAAATAAAACTCCTTGGGATTCATGTGACAAAGGGATAGCGTTTGGTTTTGTACTTGCTTTATACTGTTTAAACATTACTGATACTATAACAACAGATGCTAAGTTGTGCTGTCAGCACAGGACACTCGTCATTTCTTGCCTTGGTGGAATCATTCTCTGACCTACAGAGAAAACTTCCGAGTTTCAGTAAGTGTGAAGTACAGTACTATTAAATCTTTTACTGTTTCTTAAGAAAACTTGAAATGTTGTACTCCGCATTGGTGTTTAAGTAAGCCGGTCTTGGAAACGGTACAGCCACGACCTGCCCAGCAGCCACAGCAAACGCAACCTGACTCTCCAAAGCTGCATCAAATGAAGCAGGAAATCGATGGTATGAACTCACACTCACCCGGTGTAACTCAAGTGGGCTATTTGTTTATAATTCAATACTCCTTTGAGAGTTACACATCCAAATTCACTTTACACAGATAAACACGCCACACAGGGACTTTTCTAAGATCGTGCAAAGAAAGCACTCAATCTCTTGAATTAACTGAAGTTAATACTTCAGTATTAACACGGTGCATGAAACCAGCATTCACTGTTCCAACAGGCCCTCCCAGTTGTGGCAGGGCATACGTTCCTAATTTCTCTGTATTATCACTGTTTTTCGGTACTCTTCCCTATTATTGATACCAGTTTCACTTCTAGGATGTGTACATGTAGTTTGAAGGAACAGCTTTCTTGCAGGATAATACATCATCTTCAAAACAATGTAGAAAAGTAGGCACTTGGACAACATCTGTACTGCTTTCGGAACCTCAGGTCTTTTTTGTAATCTCTCAAATCCTTTTAACCAGCAAAAAAATAGAAGTGTTGGTAACAACCGCAATTGCAAAGCCTCTCAACCCTTTCAACCTAGATACTTCCAGTATTCCAAAATTTCTCTTGTTGTTACTTTCTTAAGAGGTTGGGTTCAAAAAGAGAGCAAGTCTCTGCTATGTACACTAGCATGAATGTTACTAAGATCAGCTGACACTTCTAAACATCATAAAGAATGGAGCTCTCCTGTTTACACTTTCAAATGAACTTTTGATCTCTGACTGTTCAATATTAAAATATCCCGTATGGACTCAGACACAGGCAAAAAAAAAAAAAGTCTGCGGAGTTTTGAGTTGTCCCACCACAGAACACACAAATCCATTAAAACACAGTATTACCTCCTTGCAATGACAAAATTCAGTGACAATTAAAGGGCATTTCAGAGGAAGTATGCTGCTGAGCATTTCTTCTTGCAAGTAACTACACTATGCTCACTTTTTCAAATTTGAAGGTTCTGAATATTATTAAAATGTGAAAGCTTCTAGGGATGGAGAAAGAACAGGGAAGGAGAAGGGGATTAATACACTAAATTACAAACCCTGGCCCACTTGAGAAGAATTCCATTTGGGACTATAGGGCGTAAATTTACAGTTTGGTTGAACGTCTGTAACTTCTGCTGACTAAATGCAAACAGTAAAGTGACTGTAGAAGTTATTGCAAAAGAAGAGTCTTCTCTCCTTCGGCAAGAGTAACTATATTCCTACTGAAATCTCATTTATATACTGTTAAAGAAAAACACAGAAAATCAAACGCTTAAAATTCTGAACGCTACTATTTTCATACTCTTGTCAATAAAAATAAGAATCTGTTCTGATGCTATTTAAAACTAAATTTCAGTGGAACAGAAAAAGTAACTTACCACTTCATTTGGGTGTACCAAAAAGAGATAAATTCCTGGATATTTCTCAAAGACCTGAAAGGAGTCGTGACTTTGTTCCATTCTACAGAGCACTTCTACACACAGCTCACCTAGAAGGACAAACGCAGTTATACTAAGGATTCATTCATATGCTCACAAAACAACAAAAAAAGCTACTTAGTGTCAAAATAAATATAATATATATACGCACACACATTGGTACTTCGGTTTAACTACTATTTGTTATTTGCAGCTCCTTTGGTAGAAACAATACTATTCCCTTCCAACTGTATACTGTAAGATACATACTGACTTTCTCGTGCAGCAGCAGATATGGATATTTCAGTATTTCTAGAAGGGGCACTCGCAGGTTATTCTCAAAATCCGGGCCCACATAACCAGACAGCTGTGTCACTCCGTTCTCATCCACTATTAACAACTCATCATCGTCTCCAGCGTTTTCCCGCATGGATTTCTCAATGTGGGCAACAAGACGGGAGGTTTCCAACTCCCACAAGACCTATTCAGTGGGGAAAAACAACTAATCAAAGTGCATTTGTGAAGAAAGTGATTAAGGACATGCAGAAACCTTAACTAGACTTTCACTTTGAGACTAGACAATTTCACTAGAGTAGACAATTTCACTTTGAGAAGTTTCTTTCAAAGCGTGGCGTGAAACAACAAAATTTTGACATGGCATTCAGATTGTGCACATCACAAAACTCCCACTTCAGAGTTAAGATCATAAAGCAGTTTTTAAAAAAGTGGCATTCAAACCAGAAGCATTGTTATAATGCCATTAAATATTCATAAACCATTTCAATAATTATTTCAGGCCATAGGTTAGTCACAAAACTTTGTTCCACTGGCCAATACGAAGAAGTGCACGACACAGAAAACGATCATATTTAGGAAGGCGGGAAAAGCAATTTTAAAATCTTGCCTTCTCACATATTTTGCAATGTATTAGTGGAAGGGAGTGAATGTAAACAATGCAAACAGACTGATCGACTTGCTGAATATTTGTAGGGGATTCGGCTCACATAACATTACTCATCTAAAGTAACTGCTCCAAACCTCAATTAAAAACCAAGGTTATTTCCTACAGTTAATAAACACAGAAAGGAACTTGCAGCAGTCCAGTCACTCCACTTATTTCCAATCTATACTCAGATGGGATTGCCCTCCAGAGAAATCTAGCCGACTAATTTAAAGAGCAACCTTTTAGACATCTGTATTGCAATCAATTAGCTACAAATATTCATTTTACATACATATACATGTAAGGGAAAATAAGCTTTCCAAAATACAAAATTGGATACTAATGAGGGAGAATTAGAAAAGGCTTATAATAAAATAGTTTTTAAACTTTTTTGATTGTTTTTAATCACAGTCTCACAGGCTTGCAAGATCAGATCTCTGCAATTCAAGCATAGGAGAAAGCTACGAATGAGAAATGAGAGCAAATACAAAGAGGAACAAACCGAAAGTTGAACAGAAGCCAGAGGAAGGAAGAAAATACATTAAAGAAATAGAGCCCTTAGTTTGTTTCGCAGGTGTTCTTTTTTTTCAGATGTCAAACCATCACAGCATGAATAAAGTTCAAGCTATAGTGTCTAGTCAGCAACTTCCACTACTATTTTAGTTCTAATTAGAATATATGCCAAACAAGAGGGTCCTCTCGCTTTACGATTGGCTCTTTGCAACTCAATGTAACAAAAGCAGACAGTTAAAAAGCAACATACCCTATTCCCAAAAACCAATAAAACACAACCCCTGCACAAAACTCCCCCCTGCACTGGGGCTGGACCACTGAAGCCTCTTCTGAAGTTTTCCTTCAGTTCCGAGCCCTCCCGCTCAGTAATGGGCAGGAGCCAAATCTCTTAATTACCTCATGCAACCTTGGCAATTTTTCCCTCGCTTTGTGGTATTCAACCACACACTCCAGGCAGTAACAGAGATCATCATTGGATCCTTCAAGATCTTCCAGGGACAACCGTTTAGAAGCATAGCTCTTCAGGAACTCAGTGGTATCAGAACCACTAGGTGTACACCATCGACATGTGCTCATTCTTTGGATGGAAAGAAGAAGGAATTAACGGAAGTCCAAAGACTGAAAGTGGCAAAATACTTCCTTTCAGCCAAAATAGTTACCTAGTTTTCAAGTGCGATGAGTTTCAGGATTTATGTAACTCATTAGCAGCGTACATGCATGTGTTCTTGGATGTTCTTATATCATACAGGCGCATGCAATTAAACGAAGAAATACAGATTAAAGCATTAAATGAACATTACAGAAAGGTGCCTGCTGAATGGCAAACATTAAAAGTCAAGCACTGAAAAGAAGTCAAATTACATAATTTGCAAACTATGAAACAACATGTGAAAATTCACTTGACATACAAAACAAACCCTCGTCCACACTTAATGCACGCTTTCCAGAACTACAATGCTAAAGTTCATTATATCGTTTTACTGGCATCTGTGGAATCTAGGTTTAATGAGTACAAGATTTAATTAGCTTTTTTTCTTTGCTGAAATTTATAGGTCAACAAATCCCTGTTTTCAAAAGCAAAGGATATTTATGCAGAACTTCCCTGTCTTCATTATTATTATAGTTAGAAAGCATCATAAAATTCTCACCACAGTTTGCTTCCTCTAAAAACAGAAGTTCTTCACTAAGCAGCAATAGAGTCATCTCAGATCCTACTAGTCTGAAAAACTCAACAGAATACTAGAAAAGCGTGAACACTTGAACTAACCACATAAAAGGAATGATGGTAATTGCTTGCTATCTGGCATAACAAGGAACGTAAAAGGGTAATCTAGATAAAGCAAAACCATACCTTTCCTGATGCATACTGGGAAAAAAAAAATTGTGGTATTTACCTTTAGAAAAGGAAGCTATTCGCTGTGTAGGTGTGCCAGGTCACATGGTGGAATGGAGAAGAGCGCTGCCCTGAACCTAGGGAGGGGACTGACACCTCCAGCCATACGTGACCTCCAGTACAGCACAGCAAAGCGGTACCTTCAATAATCCATCCCCGGCGACCGAGTCCTGACGGTATTCCAAAGGTCTAGAGCACAACAGCAATCATCAGAAATCGCTTCAGTTCACGCGTTACGGACTATGAATTGCTTCGGTATTTAGATTAACATACTTTATATTAAGCACACATTTACGTAAGCGATAAGTACGATTTGCAGCTGAATCCCTTCTGTCATTCAAACGCGGGCAACGCAGTATCTACCTCCCCTCTTTCTCCAAAAGGTGTACGCGTTCGCCCACGCACACCAGGCGAGGGAACTGCTCCAACAACCGCAGGCGGATGCACAAGCCCCAGCGGCCAGCAGACCCCTCACCTGCCCCGCCACCGACACGCTCTAACGGCTGGCCCGCGGTGAGGGGCGGAAA